CAATTGATTGAACGAATAAATATTACGAGGAAAATGTATTTTTATAATATACTGTATATATAATGTATTTCATTGACAATGATTCCCATATAAGTAAGTCTCCAATTTAAATCCATATAATTTATAAAATAATCTCAATTCCCGTCAAATATTATGATTTTAAATATAAGAAACATATTTAGAGAAATGAATATAGTATAAAAACCACAAAACATTTATCATTTTTGATTATATAAAAGCATCAGAATATACATATAAATATATACACAGATACTACTTTGAATATTATTTAAATATAAACTTTGAATTACTGTATATTTTCCCTAAAAAACATTTGAATATATTTTGGCAAAAATTTTATATTCATTACAGAACTACGGAAAATGTGTTTATTTTCACAGAGACTCACAAATGCATTTACTTTACTGCAAAATTTAATTTTAATCTAACATACAAAAATTTTATATTCATTACAGAACTACAGAAAATGTGTTTATTTTCACAGAGACTCACAAATGCATTTACTTTACTGCAAAATTTAATTTTAATCTAACATTTCAGTGAGCATTTTGTGTTTAATTTAAACAAAAGAATTACATATTATATGATTCACTCAAAAAACATTACATTTAATATAATGTGACTTAACTAAGCAAATAGAGTGGTTAACCCTCCCTGACCACTGTAGGCTTAATCATGTGATAAAATCCACAAAAACACTATTAAGAGATCACTTCTATAAATAGGCCCAAAGTATACAAAATATATCGATTTATCAGATCTTTATATTTTTATACTATTATACAGATTTCTGTCTTTCAATAATTTTTACGATTTTTTATAATAGAATAAATTTCTTAAACTTTTATGCCTTAAAAATAATAATTCATTTCATGAAAAATAGATTTTTCTAGGGTTTCAATACATGGTACGGCAAATGCATTTGAAATATTGAACGTTAACCAGACTTTTCAATGATTTGAATCACAAATAAAATTAAAATTTATTTTAATAGTAGAATATCAAAAACTCAACTAAAATCTGGAATTTTTTAGATAATGTTGACATCGGTTGAAACTTTTTTGTCTCTAAGATAAAGCATTTTTGCCTAAACTTTGTACATAATATGTGACTATAAATAACTTTTTAACTTTATTTTCGCAGACTATTAATATGTAAATTCTATGATTAATGTTGTGTTGACCCCCTCTGTTATATACGGTATATAATGTGTGCAAAAGTTGCATGTCTTGCATATTATATTCCTCGAGAATTTGTATCACTTAATAGTTTTTACTTTATTTTAAGTCAAATATGAGAAAGAAAATAGCGGCAAACCTATTCAAAACAGATTTACACAACAAATATTTAATTGAATATTAAATTCAATTATGACTTTTATAGTGAACACAAAAGATTATGCTTTCAGTCATTACAGAAGAGTCTATAAATACAATTACACTTTAAGACAAAACCTATTCTTTAAGCTTAAATAAATTTTAAGTTTAATGATTCTTAAGGTTAACCCCTCTTTGTGGACAGACAGTAGATATGAGTAGGAGAGGGTGGCTGAGAGTGAGTACAGCAGTTGGCAGAGAGAGAGAGAGAGAGGGAGGGAGAGAGAGAGAGAGGGAGAGAGAGAGAGAGAGCTATAGCGCATTTTAATCAATATCTAAAGACTGGAAGTGAATGAACAGACAGTTAGATGTGATGGTGGCGTATGGATGTATGGGTTACGCCACCGGAATGTGCGAAATGAATCGATCGGCTTATTCTTTGGCGCAACCGCACCGACAGCACCGTTAGACACAGACCTGTAAAATGCAAAATCGTTGCAAAAGCTTTGCCTTCTGTGCCCATAGAGTATGACTGCAATGAGTGGCAAAAAGAGCGGATCCATACATCCATACGAGTCATACAACTGAGTGTGTCTTCTCTGATGCGGTTCTAAAATGTCTAAAATTTTGGCTCAAAATTACAATTTCTTTCACTTTTATGTTGTTTTTTCTTTTCTCTTCTAATGTAAGAATGAACTAAACGTTTACTACTATTTACTTGTTGTGAATCCAGAGATTAATGATTATTTCTACGATTGTATTGTTTTGGCAATTCTTGTCATTAATTGTGAATACATTTCGTTTAGAAGTTTTCATTTCAATGTATATCTAGTGATGAGCTGTGAATTTGCGTGAAAGACATCCGACTCTTCACGAGTTCATTCACTTCCATATAAAACATTATTTTTTCGTTATATTCATTGGAAATACAAGAATACAAATATTCAATATTATAATACATTCACCAAAATTACAAATATATTCTGTGTGTGCCATCAATACTCATTGTATTGCATATATTGCATCGGTATGACTTTTGTGTGAACAACTATTTTGTATCTCATTTCACATACTCTTACCTCTTTTGGGCAGAAAACTCATCGATTGAAATGAATAATAAATTTGATTCGTATTTAATATTACATATAATATTGAATATTTTTTAATGCCTAAAAAATAGTGTAATTATTTATTAATAATATAATAATTTGTTAGTAAATCGCTTTTTGCCAAATGAACGGAGAAATTATACGATAAAACATTTTGAAGGCAAGAATTTTTTGTTATATCATTGTATGAAACGAGTCCTTCAAGTGCTAAATAAATTGGTTCTTATATTCTGGTGATAAACAAGCAAATAATTTACTGTTTTGTCAATATATTCAGTAAATTTTCTCAGTTTCACTACTTATTAGTGTTTTTGCATTTACACCAATACATCATCAGTTGTATAATAATTAAAATTTATGGAAATTCTATTGCTCTCTATTGGAGTTCACGAATATTTAATCCATTAAAACATCCATTTCTATAAACATATTATAAAACGAATGTAAGAATAAATTTTGTTTAAAACTAAATTTGATTGATCAAATCAAATAAAACGCCTGCTTTTTGTGACTCTGAAGTGAAATTTATTTACACAATAATATTATGTTATTTCAGGGCTTCTCTCGTAGAAAATGCATTGAATTTGATTTTTCTCGATACTGTACTGTGGCCGATCCTATAAAACACTTAAGTACTACTTTGTACGTAACTTACGTTGCGTCGTGTTTGACTGTACTATAAAGCAATTCATAGCGTTATACGTATGTTACAGTTACGTAGAGCTTACGGTAAACTTTTGATGAGATACGTTATACTTAAGCATGATTCTATCTTATAACGTGTCGTAACGTAATATACCTCCACGCAATTTACGGTACCTCTAATGCTACTATAAGATGAGTTTTGTTATTAATTTAGTGCTATTTTTATGTTTTTATATGATTTTTCTTTGTAATCCTATTATTTGTTACATTTTATACCGAATAATGAGATTAAAATGACTAATAATAACAACATAAATAGTAGTAAGAAATCAATGGTTTTTCTCAATAAAGGAACTAATAATAAGTCAACAAATGTCTCGACTTTGAGTTTATAAAAGTTACTAAAATTGAATCGGAAAATTAAATTTACTGATTTTATTCTAATTAATTAACATAATGTTTATTTTAATTACTTATTGTTTTCAATTTATTAAAAGTTTTAGTAATTCATTGTTTGTATTTATTTATTGATCAATAAATAGGTTTTATATTCATTACAAACTGTTAGCAACATTGTACAACACATACCAGTGGTACCAGTATGCCAGTGGTATGCAGTGCGAGTGCACACGGACTATATGTTACGTATCTAGAGTTACGTTTACGTTAAGTCTAAGATTTTTTATAGTACGGACGGAAACGTAAGTTACGATCGTACGTAAACGTTACTAAGTTACGTATACGTTAAGTACAGCGTTATAGAACCCGCCACTGTACTATACTGTACTGCTATGCATTTAAATGCTTTGCATGTATATTAATAAATGTCACTTTACTTGATATCTGTCGGTCTTATTAACAGAAATATATTATTAAAAAGAAAGAGTTTAGTATTTTTGTTAACATTGAATGAGAATATTAATTAAGTGAATGTAATTTCTTGACACAAATATATACAATTTATATCTCCATTATTAACATATTTATAATAACATTGTATGACAGACAGAGTAATAAAAGTATTTGTTAGTCACATAATAATCATCTAGCATTACATAACAAAAATATTTCAGTTTATTTAACTAATTATTCACAAAGTGTTTTATTTATTTTATGTTTTAAATGTTTTATGTGTTTGTTTAATGATTTAAATAATCGATTAAATAATACCATATTATCGCATATTTCACAGCTTTGATAGAAATGATGTCTTTATTATAATTCCGTTAAAACGATAATACATTTGAATACAAATTTGTAACAATTAATTGGAATTTCCTTTTTTGTGTTAAGTTATGAATATTATTGAAAAGTAAAGCAAACAACAGAATAATCACAATAATAATGACAATAATATGCGAGTGATTCACATCTCAATTCCTCAGATGAAATACCAGTGCAAAAGTCACAGTCGTTTAGTCTTAGCAATAGGTTTTCAATTAAGATCTTTACTCTAGTATTCAATGCCCGACTGAATATCGCATGAAATTCCCGTATATTTCCTACGATTACATCAAACAAGTGAACCGCTGGAAGGGCTTCACACTTATTAGTCCACAGATTTTCTATTAACTTATGGAAACAACATAAATATTTTTTAGACAAACAATAATCCGGCAGAATTTGCTGACTTAATATAGCAAAGCCATTGGTTGAGATGTGTTTGTATGCTCTACTATTTGCGCAAAAATTTTCATTTACTCTGTTTTGGGTAATTATATACAATTGTAGAGAATATTCACATCAGAATACATGTGCGAATTTATATGACTTGCATTAAATTATTTAGCCAGACTTGCACTCAACAAATGCTAAACAATTTGCTAAAATCGTACATACAATCAAATCCTGACAACACAACAAAAAACAAATAACACAAATATTTTATCTCACAATGTACATATAAAAAATGAAACATAAAATTCCGGTTATGACATACACGATAAAAAATGTATATTGTTTTTTGTTTTATGTTTCGCAGATTTTAATTATATAAAAATATTTTTCGCTTTATTTAGTGTTATGATTTGACTGTAGATTTTGAGGTGTTTTCGGATTTGGATATACGATACGAAAGCACAAGTCATTCATGTCTGACCAGCGCTTGTAAATCGATATCACATTCTCATTGCAATTGAATTTTTATGAGTTTTATATTTCAATTTTTTCGGTCAAAAAAATAATAACACATAAAAGCCCTGATATTCTGTGCACAAACAAGAAATATGATGTTGTGATCCATTGAACTAATATTTGTTTTGAATTGTTTTTTCAATTAAATGCAGATATAGAGAGTGAGATTAGCCCGGGAGAGATGCCGTTCAATATAAAACGGTTTACACAACTGCATCGGAGCACAAGTATGCCAAACAAGAATAAACAGCACAACAACAGCACCGATGATAACAACCCTAAGTCCAAGAAAAACAAGTCCAGAGACCAGCCCTCGGGGTCGTCCCAATCGCCGTCAAATATGCCGCCAAATAAGCAAAAGTTGTCACAAATCTCGGGCTCCCGATCCATAGACGCCGCAGAAATTAGACGATTGGGTGGCCAACTGACCATTTCCAATCCCATTCCCATTGATCAGCCTCCAGGTACTCATTCATTTAGAACACACAACTGTCCCTTTTCTCTGTATAACCCATAATTCAATTATAAGCACATCTCTTAACCCACTATTCTCTGCCATTCCCTCCAATATATCATCAATTTTTGTGCCGTTAACCCACCGCTCAATACATTGAACTCACAGTTTAGAGAATCCGTATAAATAACAACATAACGAGTCAATCATATCGAGTACAGTGTATACATGACAGACATTTTTTGTCACAATATTCACCGAATTATATATTGTGACAAATTTACAATACAATTATTGATTATATAGTGTACAATACGTACGCTATTAATATTTCCATTATAAACAGATTTCTGGCGTTTGAGAGTATGTTTGTAGCAATTCTTGTCCAACACAACGACAATAATTGATTGATTCTTGACTCACGAGAACTGTCTCTAAAATTTCTGTCACACCACCGACTCATCCATCGATATTGTAGATCTGTTTTGGAAAATGTTTTATTTGTTTTTGCTTTTTATTTTTGGCACATTTCCTTTTACTCCACATCATTTTAATCATTATTTTATTGGTTTAGGAAAAGAGAATTCCTTTAATGTTTATATAATATTTTTCTTTAATTATCTCTCTCTCTCTCTCTCTCTCTCTCTCTCTCTCTCTCTCCTAATGTGAAGATTCTATAATAAACTGGAAAATAAATTGCAGACAAAAACTCCTATTATGTTATTCGCTATTATATTATATTTTGACGCTTTTATAAATTTAAAGTGAATACACTGTAAGTAAATTCATGAAATTTCCTGATCTCTAAAACTCATGCGAAAATGCACTTATCTACTAATGTAGGTGAGTATTACCGTGTACTGGCAATTTGATGGTAGGGTCAGTCCCACTTACTAATAAAACACTGGATCACCACCGGATTTGTACTTTTAGTCGTTAACGTATCAGTCACTTAGCCTAACCATTGTTTAATGGTATGATGGTCTCTCTCTCTCTCTCTCTCTCTCCTAATGTGAAGATTCTATAATAAACTGGAAAATAAATTGCAGACAAAAACTCCTATTATGTTATTCGCTATTATATTATATTTTGACGCTTTTATATCTTATAAAAAGACAATTCAGACGATTATTAACAATAAGTTTATTATTATTATAACTGTTAATAACAAACAGAATTTCAGTTTATTATTAGGTTTTCCTATTTTTCTGGCAATAAATATGATTTCGTTGTACACTTCCATACATTGGAAACATTATTGGTATCGACTGGTAGTGTAATTGATATTCCGAGCGTCCATTGCCTCCATTGCCTTCCATTGCCTTCCATTGCCTTCCATCCCTGTGCTCTACTTTTGTCACTAAAAGGCCAGTCGTTTTCATCGCAACGTCTCTACGCTTTATCAGGCGTTGAATTTTTCGTCTTAATTTTATTATTGTCTCAATCTTTGAACCAAAAGAATGAAAAAACAAAAATAAAGGCCAAAACAAAAAGAGATTTAATGAGTGCACAGACAGTCACTGACAATATGCTCGGCTCTAAGCCTAATGACAGTCAATACTTGTGCCAGAATATCGACTCAATATTATCGACCATCTGATACATAATTGATATCATAATCGCATTGTCTTATGTGTCGTATAGAAAAGTCACATTTATTACAGAATAGCATCATTTACTTTAAAAATTCTCATAATTCATCAAAAAGTGACTCAAATTCTTGTGTATATTGTATAAGAAAATTGAGATTTGAGTCAAACTACGAAAGAGTGGTTTAATGTAAACTTACAATCAAACGGTCATTTCAGTGCTAAATATAAACTAAAATGATTCACTGGACCCTACTTTTAGATAAATACGAATTGTTTTAATTATAGTTATCTTTAATTAAATCAGAGAGAGAGAGAGAGAGAGAGAGAGAGAGAGAGAGAGAGACCATCATACCATTATACAATGGTTAGACTAAGTGACTGATACGTTAACGACTAAAAGTACAAATCCGGTGGTGATCCAGTGTTTTATTAGTAAGTGGGCCTGACCCTACCATCAAATTGCCAGTACACGGTAATACTCACCTACATTAGTAGATAAGTGCATTTTCGCATGAGTTTTAGAGATCAGGAAATTTCATGAATTTACTTACAGTGTATTCACTTTAAATAGATTTATGTTAATCTATATTGCATTTGTTTGAGTTAAGACAAAATGTTAAACAAAAAGGTACAGTATACTATACAAGTACAGTGTACTGTACAGTATAATATTGAATATTCCTGAAATGGCATAATTTTTTCGTTCAGGTAGTGATGGATACCAATGGGTTTAAAGACTTAATTTTTGCATAAATTGAAAACTCTTTGCGTAAGAAATTGAAAAATTGATTTTTTCCTCACAAATGTTTTTATTGATTAATCGCATTAAAGGCAGAAATAAAAACATAGTTTGAATTTTATGAAAATACTTATTGCATAAATATTTTGGACACATATTCTCCATTGATTTTTATGCAATTGTTTTTTGAATAAACATATTTAATATATTAAAAATTTTCTCTCGTTTGCATCAAAAAAGCTTTTGTGTTAATATGAACTCAATTTTTCACTTAAAACTAATTCTCAATTAAGGAAATAATGCATTGAAAGCCAGAAGTTATGACAAACAAAAGGATATTTTAAAGCAAAATTCTTATGAATATTAAAATATTGTATTATTTAGAGCACTAACGTGTAGTGAACTACTTGTCCACCCCTTGCTTTTATTAAATTAAATCAGTTGTTGTCTTAAGTACAGAGAATGCATTTAATTGTTTGTATATTTTATACATATATAATATAATGAGTCATCGGAAACATTTAAAATTATTATATAATATTTAAAAGACTTTCATATTTTATTAATGAAATAAAAAATAAAATAATAAAAGTGAATAGAGCCGGTATATAATGGGGTCAGGGATTCAAGTGCTCTCTGTGTGTCTGTCTAATTAAGAATGTGTTAAATACATACATTCCGTGTTCACTGCAAACCCACTATTATATTCACTTGCATCCATTGCCCTCACATTCCCAATGCTTTCTCACCGTTTGATTGATTATCAATTCATGTCTCTCTAATCCAAAGCCATTAAAAAGAAATTAAGTTTGCATTTGATTTTGTTTCACAATTAAATCAATAGTATTAACACAAAAATATTTCGCTCATGCATTGAAACTCGCAATTATAGTGACAAATACTATACTATACTATACTATACTATATTATAGTGACAAATACACTACCGATTCGGTGGTCAAAACAAGGACCACACTCTGCGCCCAGAAATCTACAACAACTGCAACTCTTCCAACAACAGCAACACCAACAACAACACCAACAGGACATCCATCGGAGTGGCTATTATAGCGACGCTGAAGATGTACGACGAGTGCAACCGCAGCGAAGGGTACTGACGCTAATCAGACCCAATGGACAACAGATACCATTACAGAAACCACAACAGCATCCACAGCCTCCGCAACATCCACAGCCACAACACCATCAACAACAACAGCCCCCACACCGTCATCAGCAGCCACAACACCCCCAACATCCTCAGCAACAACAGCCTCCACACCCACAGCAACCCATAAGAATGAGCCAACAATTACCAAATCTGGCGCTTTTAAAAAGTGGCGGATCCCAGCCGGGTATGTATGACGCGAATTCACACAATCATATGCTTTATGTTTAATGCAAACAAAATACTTCTTAATTAAGACTAATTCTCGAATGTATTCCACATTCATATTCTGTTCAAATCCATTTCCACTCCCCTTTTAAAAGTATTTTTCAGTTCATTTGTATAACAATTCTATTTAAGAATATTCTTTATGGATAAAGCGATTCCCAGATAACCAATTAATCTCTAACCCAATTGAATCATTAATTTAAATCAAAGTGTTTTTAATGTTTATTGATATCATTGTCTCTCGCACTCCCACTCTGTCCTTCCCCTATCCTTTTCCCTCTTACATCCATTCCCTGTTATCTACCCATTCATGAGCTCCTCTATTTCCACTCAAATACATGTTTTTCGTAAACATCGATATATTTACTTAATTCATGTGCTGTTAAGTCTAATCAAATTTATACACAATCTTTAAGTCTTAACAATGTTTATAGAAATTATCACACAATTCAGCACATATTCTATACTTCTATCTCTCTCTCTCTCTCTCTCTCTCTCTCTCTCTCTCTCTCAATTCTTAAGCCAATTAACTTAAAATGTGTTCATTTGATAAATGGCCCCATATATTATTTTTAGTAATTTTTGTACTAATCAAACTCTATGAGAAATACCAGTGATTGGCGATAAATCTGAAACTCAATACACAACATATAATTTCATTTTTATAATCTATTATCAATAACATAAAGATTTTGAGTTTAATTTAATATTATTTGAAGTTTTTGAGAGTTTAAGTTAATTTTCAGCCAAAACCTGCTCTCAATTATCATTTATAGCACTTAATTGAATTAATTTATCTAATTATTAAAGCAAATGATTTCATTCAAATAAAATATTACATTTACTAAATATTCTGTACAGATATTTTATTGTGATCGTTAACATAATCAACCGAATATGTCTAGATATCTAGTCTAATCCAGATAATTTTTAATTACAAAAGCTCTATTAGTTATTTAACGCCTAAATATCTTAATTTATTTTCATAGTAATTACTTTTGGAACTTTTTGTATTTTTCATACATGGTATTATTTTTCCATTAAATAATAAATTACAAAATATTAGGCACAGGGATGAGCAGGTGCTTGGATCACATATATCTCCATTTAGATCAAGTAAAATAACCTGAGCATTGAATTGTACTAATTTATAACTCATGATATTACAAAGATTTCCATATATTCTATTCAAATACTAAGAAAATGTAAAAAAGAAAGTTATATATTATATAATATAAATGCTATCTAATGAAAACGTGTAACAAAAATATTTTTGTAAATCTTTATTATCTCATAAATCCAATTAATATTAAGCGTATAATACCCTAAAAGTATGACAGTATTATTTATATAGATTGATAAGTAGTGTTTGTAAATCAAAAATAGATACCAATATATTATTGTGAAGAAAATTGTTTGCAAAGTTTTTTTTAAATGGGAATAGATTGCAAACTTAAGGCTCAAGTATTGACTTTTGATTTTGATATGAGATATGAAATTCATTTTTATATTACAATATACAGAGAGAAACATTTGTGAGCAATCAAACAGCGAGATTGCATTGATTCAAGTGTTTTCTCATCAAAACACATAAAACTAGTGACAAAAAGTGGTATAACAATGAAAATACAAGTTGTTTAACAGGTATTCACTCATAAATACGGCAAACAATCAAATATTCAATACTTTTGCCATTCATTAGAGTATTAATCCGTATTATAGTAGAGATGTTATGTAAGCCACTGTACACTGTATGCTAAGCTGGGTGTATGAAGTGGTGGTGGGGTGGCCAGGGAGGGGACTGGAGGGTTAAATTACCTGTTAATTGAAGTGTGTGTTAGGTGTGGGCGCGTGCGTGAGGTCTGGGCACCTGTGCTGCGCGCGCACCCCCTCTACGGCACTGGCATTGCATTGAAAGCCGTTTGCTGTGAGAGAGAGAGAGAGAGAGAGAGAGGAGAGAGAGAGAGAGTGATGTGAAGCCTATTATTATTGAATGCATTCTTACAGAACGACTCATAGAGTGAATGCTGGAGAGAGTGAGAGACTGTACTAATAGTAACCCATATCTGTTCGTCACGTGACGTTCACTCGCGAAGTCATTTCAAATGGTTTTGTTGTTGTCTTACAATTAGTTGTGTTTTGTTTGCCATGAGTGCAGCCATGAGCTGATCCGTCAAAGTGTTGTCTTCACTGAACTGTTGTCTCTCTAACCGACACACAGGAGCCGGCGGTCCTCCCCAGCGACGGATGAACCAGAACCCGGGCGCTGGACCTCCTCAGCACCACCCCAGCCATCCGTCACATCCATCACATCCATCACATCCACCGCAACCGCAACGGCCGGCCTCTACGACACCGTTGGAGCGGTTCGTATACCAGCCCTCGTCCACACTCTTCGATGAGGACCCGGGGATTATGTCGGAGATCGAGACCTACACCCCCTCTACGGCACTGGCATTGCATTGAAAGCCGTTTGCTGTGAGAGAGAGAGAGAGAGAGAGAGGAGAGAGAGAGAGTGAGAGAGAGAGAGAGAGTGATGTGAAGCCTATTATTATTGAATGCATTCTTACAGAACGACTCATAGAGTGAATGCTGGAGAGAGTGAGAGACTATACTAATAGTAACCCATATCTGTTCGTCACGTGACGTTCACTCGCGAAGTCATTTCAAATGGTTTTGTTATTGTCTTACAATTAGTTGTGTTTTGTTTGCCATGAGTGCAGCCATGAGCTGATCCGTCAAAGTGTTGTCTTCACTCAACTGTTGCCTCTCTAACCGACACACAGGAGCCGGCGGTCCTCCCCAGCGACGGATGAACCACAACCCGGGCGCTGGACCTCCTCAGCACCACCCCAGCCATCCGTCACATCCATCACATCCACCGCAACCGCAACGGCCGGCCTCTACGACACCGTTGGAGCGGTTCGTATACCAGCCCTCGTCCACACTCTTCGATGAGGACCCGGGGATTATGTCGGAGATCGAGACCTCTGCGACCGGCTTCAGGCGCGGCAACAAAGCCCGCGCCTCCCTTCCCATCGTCAGGACCCCCTCCAAGACTCAGGACCGCTCTCTCGGACTCGTGTTCCTCCAGTTCCGCGCCGAGACCAAGAGAGCCCTCCTTCCCAACGAAATCACGTCTTTGGATACCGTGAAAGCACTGTTCGTCAGGTATGTCACCACCGATTGTCTTGTTTTGAGCATCAAGTCGTGGCACTACTCGTGTATGTATTGGCCATCGATTGTCTTATTATGGCACTAAATCTAGTAGTGATCACTGGTTTATATTATTTGACAGTTTGTCTTATAGTGGTGTCTATAGTGATCACCGATTATCTTATTTTTGGCATCAAGTCTTGCGGTGATGCCTCTGTAGTGTTGACTCGTTTCGGTGTATCACTCGTTCATTATTTATATGACATGTGTTTTACTATTAGTTTTATTTATTTAATTTAATGTTTTTTCTGACAAACGTTTTCATTGTTTACGAGATCTTCAGTTTGTTTATCTGATGAGAGGTTTACCGCAATTATAGACACAAACTATTTATAACTGTTTTAAGTGACTGAACGCTATAAGTGAGTGAAAAAGTTCCCAATTTTTAAACACTTTCTGAATTGAAGTTAATTTTAAACACATGTTTGTATAGCTATCGCATGAAACGAGTGTTGAAAATAGTTTTTACACAAAAACAGATGAAAACTGTGTTACACTTCAACACATTGTCTGATCCTATGTTTGGGTATATGTCTCGCACTCGCAGATCATTTCCTCGACAACTATCGATGGAGTACTTGGACTGTCCGTCGATTCGGATCTACATTCACGACGGATCCAAAGACATGTTTTACGAGTTGGAGGACTTCCGGGACATCCGCGACCGGTGTGTGCTCCGGATCTACGAGCACGGCGTGAATGGCCCGCAACCGGTGGGCGGACACGCGAATATGCCCAACACGTGGTCCGACTGCGAACAGTTCGGCTACTTCTCGGAACCGGAGTTTGAGTCGGAATACCAGTCCCAACACATTCATCGCGGCAAACGCGGCCCCGTTCCTGATAAGCCTCTGCCCACCACTGGCGGTCAGTCGCAATATTACGGCACTATTATACTGCCCGCTCAATACCGGACACAAGCCATGGTTGGCCGACAGCCGTACGGCGCCGCACAACCACCACAACCACCAGAAAGGAGTAAACCATTTCCCGGTAGTTATGAGTTTTTGTTTGTTTACCGCATTTACAAAGGGCTAGAATTATGCCGTAGACATAGGCTTAACATTTGATTCATTAATAAATGAATGTAAAAGTGATTTAAAAATAATTTCCATTAATATCCGGCCTCTCATCGTATGTTTGTTTGCTTTTAAATTCAAAGGCTATTCGCAAACCCTTCCCCGAAACGCCCACATTATCTCGCTTTACGGCAATGTAAACGACGCCAACACTAATAATGTTAACCAAAACCAAAGTCCAACACAGAATTCAGTGGCGCCGTCACCCACACAACGATCCGTTTCACCCGATTTGATACAAAAACAACGGCCTAAAGACCCCATCGGTTAATGAAATACATATTGCTTTTTATGAATTGTTTTGCCATTTAATGCTCGCTTTTACTGTAGACTGCTTTTCATTCATGAATTTATTTATTTATTTTTGTTTTATATAATTTGTTTAATACTTTGTATTATTAACTGTATTTACATCTAAACTAAACTAAAGGCCAAATGATGTCATCGGGTCCACCGCCCAAACCTCAGCGTTCATTCACAGCGCGTACAGCACTACCTCCCGCCGCCCAGAATATTACCTCCCCGTCGATGGTAGGCCCGCAATATCATCAGAATCGTCCCCTCCCTGACCGACCCTATTCAGTGGCCGGACACTACCCGTCGCCAGATATGGGCCGAAACTACGCGCAGGACTTCTCCGGTTATCTCTCATCACCTGAACGGCGAATGCCTCACGAGAATCAGACTCACGTGAGGGCCTCCTTCTCGGGATACCCCTCTTCCATGCAATACCCGGAGGACCCGTACGGCATATACGGCATGAGGTCGGGTGCGGAATACCCTGGATATAAACACAATTTTTAGTTTATACCAGAGTTTCTGAAATATATTTAAAAAATAAAATAAAATAATGAGAAAAATCTCTATAATTAGTGCCAATAATTACCGTTAAAAACAAAAAAACATTTCATTAATTAGCAAGCACTTATGCATTAGTATTGTATAATATTATTCAGATTAAAACTTTTTAATAGCTTTTTTGTCGTTGTTGCCAATGCATTAGCGATGCAATTACCATCCCTGTCCCCCTCTCACATACCCTACCAAACACCACCACCACTAGCTCCCTGTGCTTACTGTGTCGACTGTATGGTGTGATTAGCATTCATTTATTTGAAGTGTATTTGACGTGAAAAATCTAAATCTCATTATTCTTATCATTCAGTTTATAATCAATGGCTCTCCCACTCCCTCACTACCATTCCCCCTCTTACTCACACACACTGTGTGTATGTATACTATTTTTCGCACAGAATATTCCGTTAGTGTATACACTGTTTAGCGTAATATTCTTGTAATTCATGGCACAGACAGTAACCGACATACCATCCATAGACATATAAAAAGCCAAAACCAAATTCTTTAGCATTCAATTTGAAGCTTCACTTTTGATTACTAATTCCCTGGATAGTCAACTACCGTTCCCACTCCCGTCCCTCAGCCCTACACTCGCACAATGAAACCCAAACCAAAAGTTCAATTTTATTATAAGATTTTCGGAGACAGACTATTGTGTTGTGTTTTTTTAGTGTCGCTTTATATGTGAGATGTCATCAAAAAATAAAATAAAGGGAGAAAAAGTAATTTCCGATAATTCTCTCTCTCTCTCTCTCAGCAATACTTTTGTTTCTCTTTCGCCTAAAAAACAGACGACAAAACCAATTGATTGTTGAGTGGGAAAGGAGTTGCAGATAGAAAGTGGAAGTCAATAGGAAAGGCATACAAAAAACACAGAATATTCTGTAAGTATTCAGAGCGAATATTTTACTTTTACTCTTTTTGGTACTCCATGTGCCTCATAGCCCCATAACACAACTTTCACTACTTATTGGTATACAGACAACACAATTGACTTTTAATTCATTCAAATAGTTTGGTTCACTAAAGAATATTCTGTGTTTGTATACATAAATAAAATTCTTTCTATCGAAACAATTCCGGTAATGCAACAACAAAAATAACACACATTCTGACATAAATTTACAATAAAATTGCATTTAAATAATCATGACTTTCGGAGTCGCGCACAGAATATTCTGTAATGCAATGGGAAATGTATTTTCAACTCTCATTTGGCACATAAAAGTAAACTTTGTTGTTTTATTTTTTTGGGCACAATTTTTATTGTGTAGATTTCTACACGTTTAATACCCGGGGTTCGTTTTAAGGCATGTATAAAAAATAAATTGCGAATTCAAGTCAACCGCCAATCAATGGGACGGTTAGTGTTTTACGGCACACATTGCGTGCTCTGATCGGCTAATGATGTCTAAGTTTTTAAAGTTATTTTTTTGCTTGTATTGTGTTTTTTATTATGGGGTATACATCTCGCTGACCATCATTTTTATTAAATATAAAACATGAATAAAACACCGATTCTTGCGATCATATAAGAGAGAGAGAGAGAGAGAGAGAGAGAGAGAGAGAACTGAGTACTGTATGTATTTCATAGACATAAGTGTGTTTGAGATGAAAATATTGATAACAATAGCTATTTTTGTGTCACATTTGAACCAAAACTAATATCACTTAAGTGTATACCAGGGACATAAAAAGACTCATTAATTTGATTGGATATATGAGTTATTATAACAAATAATTCCGATATATTTATATCATAATAATTACAAAGCTAGGCAACTAAAAATATATATATCCAATTAAATTAGCACAAATTAAAACTCTAATATGAGATACAATAAATTATTTAATGCAACATAGAATCTTATCTTGGTAAATAGTAAATATCAAGACACAATCTATATACGGTAATCGATACGATAGTCTACTGATAATCCAAATGTCAAAACAAAAAAACATTTTACCCATTGTTTTGTGACCAGAATTCATAAGTAAACACTTATATTAAAACCCATCGAAACACACGTACAGAATATTCTATCAGTCAATAATCCCAATAGTATTTTACTTAATTAAATATTTATTTTCCAATTCTTTGCGTAATCTAATTAAATTATAATTTAATTACCAATTATACAAACAATAACATAAAATGCGCAAATATTTTAGTTTACTACTATACTAATAGTAATAACTATTTTATATATTTTATTTGTTATGTATTTTTTTAGCACAAAAAATGTCTCAAAATTGACTTTTATTACAAAATACAGTTCAGATATCCATCACTTATGGCTAAAGTATTAGAAAAAATATAGTTTTATGTTTCAAAAGCGCTTTTTATCTTATTATATCATATGATAAGTATTTGATATCAATATATTCAGTGGTAAAGTGCGGTTATATATATAAGGCTTATCCCAGAGATTCAACGATAAAAACCATTTTCTCAAAAATATCTAAAATGATTGACACATTTTTATTATACTATAATTCTCAGCCATTTTCCGTCGCTATTATAACGGATTTTTATATCAAAAAATTAATATTAATAAGGATTGTATTGAAGTATAATTTGTAACAACTGAATTTTGACCTGTATGATTATTTTAAATAACATTGATATTTTCATGATACTTATTGATAATTTAAAAATCAATATTTGAGTGTGTTTTGTAGGAAAGTGCCTTTTAAGGGGTTATATAAAATAATACATTATTTACAGTTAATCAGTATGTTTTAATAATATCTAGTATATTATATTAACTAGATAAATTTTATGCGATCTATTCACTTGAATAAATAGCTAGCAATAAATATCAATGTGCTAATAAAATTAACTGTTATTGTATCGCAAATTTATAATTTTCATTAAATATTTAACACTATTCTCGTATTTAATCAATGTGCATTAATAATAAATTTTAATCTAGCCTTAAACTAAATAAATAAATTTAATGTTTAATTTTAATCTACACAAATGTTCAAAATATAAAAAGCTCTAATCTATGCATAATTTATATACGTTATTATTATTGTTATAATTAAAATAAATTAATGTTAGACATTAAGGTTGCGAAATATAATTAAATAACACATAATCCTCGCACTACATACTCAATATAAACACATTTCTGATGAAATTATGTACACAATTATGACTAATAGGTATTTATTTTAATATTTTTCTAACGAGAAATCTTTTTAAAATTAAATTAGAGAGAGAGAGAGAGAGAGAGAGAGAGAGAGAGAGAGTAAGAGCTAATGGAATTAAATTAAACGGAATTTCCAATAAAAACATAAAAAATATTTTTAATACTTTAATATCCAATACCAGAAACAATTGCACACAAATTCATAGAACATTTAATATACGAAACTAAATGATGATTAGTTGTAAAATATTAGATGATAGTTCAGTCTATATAAAAGTCTAACATACAGTCAAAACCCGTTAAAATATAACAAAAACAGAAAATGTATATAAAGCTGACTTATTTCTAAAACAAAAATTGACAACACTATTAATGCATGTTTAAAAATGTAAATAAACATTTTCAAGTCAAACACAATTAATAGGTAGCTAAACTAATAAATTTTTATAATGTAACAATTTACTATCATACTACGTTAAATGTGTAATGATTTTAAAGTAACATATTTTGTAAAACTGTAAAATTGCAAAAAAAAACAAAATTTTGAATCTCTCTCTCTCTCTCTCTCTCTCTCTCCAAAGTGTTCACAATTGACATCAAATTTAACGCTTCAATAATAAAATCGTCGTTTTTATCGTACAGTCGCTGCGAGTCTATACAATATAGTGCACTGAATAAGAGAGAGAGAGAGAGAGAGAGGGAGAGAGAGAGGGAGAGAGAGGGAGAGAGAGAGGGAGAGAGAGAGAGCTAATGGAATTAAATTAAACGGAATTTCCAATAAAAACATTAAAAATATTTTTTAATACTTTAATATCCAATACCAGAAACAATTGCACACAAATTCACAGCACATTTAATATACGAAACTAAATGATGATTAGTTGTAAAAATATTAGATGATAGTTCAGTCTATATAAAAATCTAACATACAGACAATACCCGTTAAAATATACCAAAAACAGAAAATTTATATAAAGCTGACTTATTTCTAAAACAAAAATTGACAATATTATTAATGCATGTTTAAAAATGTAAATAAACATTTTCAGGTTAAACACAATTAATAGGTAGCTAAACTAATAAATTTTTTATAATGTAACAATTTACTATCATACTACGTTAAATGTGTAATGATTTTAAAGTAACATATTTTGTAAAACTGTAAAATTGCAAAAAAAACAAATTTTGAATCTCTCTCTCTCTCTCTCTCTCTCTCCAAAGTGTTCACAATTGACATCAAATTTAACGCTTCAATAATAAAATCGTCGTTTTTATCGTACAGTCGCTGCGAGTCTATACAATATAGTGCACTGAATATGAGCTACAGTTATAAGCAATTACTGTATGAGTAGATACTGGCGCTCATATTAAGACAAGCACTGGTAGTCTACAGAAGTCTTATACACAGACATCTACTTCTGGTGTCTAACTATCGATATTCGATAAAAATAACTTAATGTATAGATATATACAGAGATAAAGGGCTAAAATTTCCAGTAATTCAGTTATATTGGAGAGAGAGAGAGAGAGAGAGAGAGAGAGAGAGAGAGAGCACCGGGAGATCGATAAGTTGATGGCTTTCAATAGAGATTATATATATTTATCTCTCAGATGTGATGGCATGCAATCAGTTTGTATGGTGTGGTGCACTCCGGAGCACCCGGTGCTATTTTGTGATTAAGTTCTTAGCGTTAAAAATGTTTATTATTATTAGTGTTTATCTGTTTATTACGAGAAAGAGAGAGAGAGAGAGAGAGAGAGAGAGAGAGAGAGCACCGGGTGCTCCGG